AGTCTAAATTATTACATTTAAAATTATAACTCTAATTCAAACAGAATAGCCTGTTGTCAAGATAATTATGGAGTGTGATTTATTTTCAACTYAAAATATCTTCAAACTAACGAAATATAAAGTTATTAGGGAGGAAAATCCGTCTGGATAACAGCAGACTGACTGCTCGTATACGACAGGTCTGGACCACTCATGAATTTTGTTCGTATCTGAAAAAAATCTTAGAATACGAAAACATTGGTGAATGCCACAAATTCTCCTAAATCACTTGTACGCACAACTTAAGAACAAATCTGTGCGTACGAACGGTTCTTGCATGAGGCCCAATGTCTTTAAAATTTATTTTACACTATTATTCATCAGACCGGTCAGAATTAAATAGTTTGTGCGAATTAAAGCCACTCAAGAAGCTATCTTGCAGCAGGTAAGATAATGATTGTTCACAATTATATTTTATAAAAACCGTATTTCAGAAGATTTGATAAATCATTTTTAAATGTCAAAAGCTTAAAAAACAAAATAAAACAAACAAACAAAAAAAAACTGAAGCATTTTAAAAACAACTTATTTTTGGAAACACAAAATTAGTTTACAGTAACTCGTTATCATTGCACAAAACTGTCCAAAACATTCCACATGTACAGTTTGTGTGATTTGTAGCCTGTACAGAGAAATGAACTTTCAAACTGAAGTTCCTGTTTACTTGCAGAAACCCTTGGGGTTAATTAGAGCCATGCAGCCTTACAGTAACCAATCCTCAGAGATTTCCTGCAGGGGGGCTTGTTTATACTCCTGTCTGTTCAATATGTGTTAACCATAATGATCATGTGTGAATAACTTGCCACTGCAAACACAACAGGTAAGTAAGAAGCAGTATTTTCAGGCGACAAGAAAACGCTCTTTGCACATTTAAACTAACTGTTAGGTGCTTTTAAACGTGGAGATTGTTTGGTAATAGCCCACTCTAATTAAGTTGTTTAGGAGAAGAATAGTGAGGTTTTCCACCGAGGCTTTAGCATGCCCTTTCTGTGTGCTGCAGCTACCGTGGATACAGCAGACACAGCAGTGAAATTTATCACAGTCACCTCTTTGGCTGCTCTCCAATATTAATGAAACATGGTCAGTTGCGAAACAGAGAAATATGCTCATGTCATCTACTTTTCAGCAAATAAAATAAGGTGCAGGGGAAAATAAAAACGTATGCCCGTTGGTTTGGAAGTATAGGCAAATCAATCCCAATAAAAAATGACAAATAAATGCAAAAAAGAAAAGCTTCCTTCCTCACCTGCCCTCATTATGAAATGTACTGGTGTATTTTGTGCCTTTGTAATGGCGCAAAGTCATCATGATGTCACATAAATACCATTCCAGTGAGCATTGACAAAACTCTAAAAGAGACTTTGTTATACCTTATCAGTGTTTATGTTTATTTTTAAACTACTGTAGTTTTCCCATTGGCCCGTTTTTGAAATCCTGTTAGACAAAATGTAATGTGGGTGTCCAAAAACTGTTCCCAGAAAGGTGTTTGAACCAAAACTCCTATTTAAGTCTGTTTATTTTAGACAAACCTAAAGACAAATAACCCCTCACTTTAATCAAGATCAGATAACACATTTAAAAAATATATACTGTAGCACTGTTTGTTTCAGACCACATTTTATGGCACCGAGGCATGTTCAATGTCTTGCACAACAAACCAGCATTCACCTCCACGTGGTTCCCCATTAGCAGTAATTCACTAACAACACAACAAATGGTGTTCACAAAAAAACAAAAGAAAACAAACAAAAAAAGCATTATAACACCCATTCAGAGGAATGGGTGTTGTTTAGGTTTTTTAATCTGGGTGTTTTCCCCACTACAAGTCTTGAAAAGTGGTTTTACGTCTGGGATTTAACCTTTAATAAACCAGTTTTATTTGTTTAGGTGTCAAAATAATTCTTGTGAAATGGCAGATAAACAAAAGGTTAGCCAAAATATAAAAGCAGCAGAACAGAAGCTAAAAACTAAAAATAGCAGAGTGATCGTTAAATAGAAGTAGCATAAGAAGATAAAAGAATAGTTTGCTGAAAAGAATGATCTAGATGCATCTCTCTATGTGGAAACTATTTGTAAAGAAAGTGGAATATTTTCAAAAGTGTGCAAACGACTAAAACCAAAAGTTATAGCATTCATTGTCTGAACAAGCTAAACAATTTGACATCTGAAWGACTAAATTAGTGCAAAGTATGCAGAAGCTGTTAGAGTGCAAAAAATATAAAATAATAATAAAAAAATAAATAAAACAATGCTGACTCAGCAAGAAGCAAAAATGAATACAGCAAAAATCAGTGATACTGCGGACATTGTTGAAGGTGCGGGCCAGAGTGGTGA